TTTCGGAGTTGAGTAACATCCCATTATGTGTGTGTGCCGTGTTTCACTTATCCATTCGCCCATCAGTGGAGTTTTGGGTGACTGACACCTTTTGGCTGTTGTGTCTCGGAGCATTCCTTGACTTCTCTGAGCCTCAGTTTCCCCAATGTTTAGGTAGAAGTGAGGGGACAGAGATTAAAGCATTGCCAGCACCGTGAATAGGTTCAATTTGGTAAATTGCACAAAAGCCCCTGTCTTTCGGGGCTGGCAGGGGGGAGGGGTGGGGTCAAGGCTGAGGGTGGGGGAGGGGCCTAGGCTGGCGGCGCTCAGCCCGGCTGGGGTGCAGGGGCCCAGGGTTGTGAGCAGGGGCCCAGGGGTGTGAGCAGAGAGCGATGGCCGGGAGTTGCCCGAGGAGGCATCTGATGGAGCCTGTTGGGGTTTGGGGTCCCCCCTTGGGAGCTGGTCAGTTGGCATGAGTTTTCCAGCCCAACCAGAGGAAGGATTCCTTTTTTAAAACTCACCTGAGGATGTTTATTGATTTTAGAAAAAGAGGAGCAGAGGGCACGAGAAAGAGAGACAGAGAGGGAGAGAGAGAGACGTGGACCGGTTGCTTCCCCTTCGTTGTGCAACCCAGGCTCGTGCCCGACCGGGGTCCACACCGAAACCCCTTGGTGTAGAGGCCGAGGCTCCAACCCACTGAGCCACCCAGCCGGGGCGAAGGATGAGATTTTTATGAGTTAACAATGGTTCCATCTGGTCTGGCTTCAAACAGAGCTTATGGAAACCATCCTCCTCCCTGGGGCGGTTTAACGTGCAGATGGCTGTCACCGGCGTCAGAGCCATTTAGCATGAGTGGGGGCCCTGGCTGAACCCGGCTGCGCCCGAAACCTCAGGGTTTCTCTGGGAAATCACATTCCCAGCCCGTGCACATCTGTGTCCTGATCCCAGGTCCGCGGGCGGACAGAGAGTAGGGACACGGCAACCCCCCAGACTGGCCTCCCTGCGGGCTGCAGGTCAGCGCAGGGCGCCGCTGAGTGCTCGGTCGGCGTCTGGGCTCAGGCCCAAGCCGCAGAGCTGCTGAGGTGTAGCCCACTCCCAGGGCCTCCCTTGGCCGAGCAGGGCTGGCCTTGCCACCTCTGTCTTCCTGTTACGGGGGAAAAGGAAGGCAGAAAGTGTCCCTGTCTCAATGGCCTGTGCCCGACCACCAGGTGGTCCTGTGCCTCTTCCAAGCTCTGGTTCTTGTTCAATTTGACAGCAGTTAGAGAGAATGCCAGGAAATAGTACGAAGGGACCGTATGTCTCCTTACCCCTCCATTCCCTCCCTCCCTCCCTCCTTCCTTTTCCTAAACTAACGTCATCAGGTCCTGCCCGGCACAGGCAGCTGGGGACCCAGAGCTGCAGGACATGCAGGCTGCACACTTCAGGGGGCCACCTTCTGTGAGGAGGGGGAGAAACCAGCCGTGGTGGAAAGGGGAAACTGGAGAGGTCGAGATGAGGTGGGGGGAGGGTTGCTCTCCCATTGGCAGAGGGTGGTTTCTGGCTTGGCTACGTGGGTAACAGGCAATGTGTGCACTCGGTCAACCTCGGAGCCCTGCAGGCGAGTGGGTGGGCAGCTGGCCTGTGAGGTTGGGTTTGGACACACGGCATCCACATGGAACGTCCCAGAGGTGGCTGAACACTCAGAGTGTAGACCAGTGGTCGGTTTGTGAGGTGGTCACACAGAAGCCTTCAGAATTCGGTTCCCAATGGCCCTGGGGCCTCAGGAGCAGCAGCCTCGCTCTGTGTCCCCACGTGGGCCCTTCAGGCGGGAGTCCGTCCAGCCTGCAGGCCTGCAACCCCCGGGCACTCGGCGATGCCCAGGCCCCTGCCCCACTCTGGCCTGCTTGCCCCTTTTCCCAAGGCCCTGGGGGCTGGGCAGCTGTCCACACGGCTACCTCCCATCCTCATTGGCCATCTGCCCAACCTGCCACCCAGGAGAGCCACCCAGACAGGCCCACTGGTCCAGCCACCTCTGTGAAGGCAAATGTCTTCATCTGGCTTGAGTTACTCAGACGGGAAACTCTGCATTCGTTCCCGATAATGACCTTCGGGAAGCCACGGTACTGCTGTAGATTTCCAGGCCAGGAAGGGCCCGGCTGACTCTCCCACCGTGGATCCCTTCCTGCCACGTCTCACCTCAGCCCAGGGCTAGAGGCCTTGCTGGCCTGAGCGTGGGCTCCACAGCCTGGCGAGAGCCCAGAGGACAGGGACCGTCTGGCTGCACCTTTTCCCTCCTAGAGCCAGAGGAGCACGCGCCTCTCGTACCAGGGGGCTTCCCGCTCCCACACCCTCACTCACCCTGCAGACAGGTGTGTCCAGAGAGGAGAAAAGACCTGACGCAGGGCCAGCCTCACAAGGTTCCACCCAGCGGCTTGGAGGAGGGCAGGACATACGTTTTGGCCCCGAGGGGCCTAAATTTTTAGTGGCACATCTGCGTGGAGACCTCGGGTTGACAGCTAGCCACATGGAAGGTCATCCCTTCAGCAAATGGGGTGGGGAAACAATGACCCCAGACTGGTAGTATGGGGGGCCCCTGCCTTCCGCCACAAACGAAAGCTCACTCCATCCCTTAAAAGGCAGCAGAAGCAAAACGAAAAATCGGGCTACATCAGACTTTTACCACACAGTGAAGGAAACTACAGGATGAAAAGAGTGGGAGGAACTGTGTGCCAACTGCATAGCTGATCTGGGCTAACGCCCAGAATATGTAACAAGTTCCTCCAACTCAACGACAACAAAGACAGACAATCCAAGTTAAAAATGGGCAAACGCCTTGAACAGACACTTGTCCAAAAAAGACATACGAATGGCCATCAGGTATATGAAGAGATGGTCAGTATCACTATTTATCAAGGAAATGCAAATTAAAACCACAGTGAAACATCACCTCACACCCCTTAGGGTGGCCAGCATCCAAAACACCCTAAAATAACAAATGTTGTCGAGGATGTGGAGAAATTGAAACCCTTGTGCACTGTTGGTGGGAATGTAAAATGGTGCAACCGCTATAGAAAACAGTATAGAGGTACCTCAAAAAATTAAAAATAGAATGACCATAGGATCCAGCAGTCCACTCGTGGGCAGGGACACCTGCACCCCTGTGTCATAGCATTATTCAAATAGTCAAGGGGCGGGGGCAACTTGGTCTCCATCGCCAGATGGGAGGAACGCATGCAGAATGAGTGGTATACACGGACGATGGAATGTCATTCAGCCTTAAAAAAGAAGGAAATTGTCACTTCAACAACATGGATGAACTTTGAGGACATTTGACTAAGTAAAATAAGCCAATCACAAAAGGACCAAAATGGCAAGATTCCACGTATCTATTTAAAACAGGCAAAGTCTTAGAAGCAGGAAGTAGGATGGTGGATTCTGGAAGACGTGGGGGGGGGGTGGAGGGGGCTGCTGTTTCCAGTTTTGCAAGATGAAAAAGTTCTAGAGACCTATTTGCTCAACACTGGACACATGTTAACACTAAGTACCGCATCCTCAAAAATGGTTTAACATGGTAAAGTTTGTGTCACGCGTTCTTGACCACGATGGTTTTTTTAAATTGCAGACTCAGGAGTGCAGGTAGTAGCATCTTGACGTTTGGGTTTAGCCTGACCGCCACCACGATCTCATGCCCCCGGGGCCAGAAAGGCACTCTCACCCCACCCCGGCCTGCAATGCTCTCTCTCTGGGTCTCTTTTTCTCGGATGCCCCCTCCTCCCCACCCAGGCCTCCCAGAACGAAGGTCAGGGGGCTGCTTTTGCCTTTCCACCCTGCCCCAATCCCTAGGCCAGGGGCGCAGTGAGCACCGCTTAAAAGGTGGGGGGGAGAGGAAATAGAAAACACACACGCATCCTGATTATGAGGAGTCTGTCTCTCCTCGGTGGTGGTCCTGGGAATTTGGGAGGGAGTGACCTTTATGGGAAGGGGTAGTGCCTTGTAATACAGCCACAGGCTGTCCATCTCCTGGTTCTGGTTGGAGCCCCGCCCACCACTGCACCTGGGTCGAGGAGGCTGGAGAGACAGGTAGAGTGCTGTCTAGTCCCGGCTGCAATCTAGTCCGTACATCTTCTCTCCTGCACCCCTCCCCCGCCCTCCCGCCGGCACCTGAAGAAAGAAAGGAAGACTAGGACTCAGAGGGAGTAAAACTGGAGGCAGGCAAAGTGAAAACTCGAGGCCACGGGGCTCCGGGGTGTTGGCTGCGAGCTCCAGGACAGGCGGCCGTGCAGAGCCTGGACCTCTGACTGAGGCGGCCGGCTGGGCAGCGTTTCCCTACCCGGAGCCCTCTCCGGCGCCTGTGTGGGCAGAGGGAGAGAAGGCAGGGGCAGGATGGTCCCATCATCAATTCAGAAAGGCTCAAACCGAGTGGGCGGAGAGCTGGGTGCTGGAAAGAATCTGCGTGGCGTACATGTTACCTGCAATAAATCCCGGGAAATGGATACACATCTGCCTGAGCTGGGGGCGGGGAAGGGGCTGGGAGGGGCTGAGCACGGCTCTAGCAAGCGAGGGGAGGACAGGAGGAAGAGTCTGTTCCAACCCGGGTTAAGCGTTTGAAAGGCCGTGATGGTGTAGCTCTATGCTGTGCTGTCCCCGGAGCTCCGGAGCTCCGCTGTAGTGGCGGTTACGAGCTGCCCCCACCCTCAGCCTTAGATTTCTCATCTCTCAGAAGTTTCTCAGCTACAGACTCTCCTCTCTCAAGAATTCCCAGATAGTCATTTTTTTTTATTGGGAAGGGACTGTGAATGGATAAATAAACAGATAAATAAATAACTGAAAGAGTGAGCAAGTGGGGAGAATGCAGCCAGCACGGGAAGGCGGGAGCAGGAGGCAGTTTCTCCCCGTACGTCCCTGCCTCCCCCACCAGAGGGTGGTGGGCAGGCTGCCCCCGGGGGGAGCAGTGGAGGGCAGGGGTGGGCAGCAGCTGGTGCACTGTTGCCGAGCCCACTGGCTTCCCTTCTCAACGGGTCTATCCTTGTTTCCCTGTCCAGGGCCCCCCGGACGGCGAGGCAAGCCCGGAAGAAGAGGCGATCCCGGTGAGTCCCAGGTTTTTCTGGTTCGCAGACCTGGGCCTAGCAGTCTGCTCTGGACCAGGGATGCAATGAGATGCACCAGTGCCCCTGCACCCCACTGAGGGAGGCCGCAGTGTCCGGCGCCACTTTTTCTTGGCTCCTCGACATCACAGGTCCAGTGACTGTCCCGTTTGTGTCCCTGACACCCGCTGAATCTCACTACAACCACAGCAGCGCCAGTGTCTGGCCTCTCTCTCTCTCTGAAATGGCTTCCTCCCCTCTCTGAGGGAATGGATGGGGGCTCCACCTGCCCGAAGTGCCTGGTTCTCCTGGGCGCCCCCATCCCTCCCCAGACTGACTGCTCCTTCCCTTGGCGGAGGCACCAGGAGGAGGCTCCTTCGCCATCCTTCCATACTGGCCTACCCGCTCGGCCGCCCGCCCTCCTGCCGTCCTCACCCCACCTGAAGGGTACACGCCCCCTGCTGCCGCGCACAGTGAAGCTTCCTGGGAGGTGTCCACACACCCAGCCCTCTCCCGCCTCACCTTCCACTCACCCCCACCCTCCAGTCTCTTCGCTGTCACTCCTTCGACATCGTCTTGGCCAAAGTACCACCGACCACCTGGCGGTCCAGCCAGCAGAGGCGTTGCCGCCGCCATCCTCCCTGACCCTCCCTGTTAGCCGCCCTGCCCCCACCCTGTATTCCCAGCTCCACTGTGGCCTGGGTTTCCTCCCACGTCTCTGACCCCCTTCTTTTTGGCCTTTCCCAGGGGACCCCACTTGCCTCTTAAATGATTCTGCCCTCGGCCCTCTTCTCACTTCTCTCTCACCCCTGGGGGCCATGCTCCCCCAGGACACCGGTGATGCCCCCCTCCCTGGATCAAGCCAGATTGTCTCCTCTGGGTCCAGAGTTTGGACATGGCCCCCCTGAGCCAGCACTGCCCCCAGCCTGCTCAGGAGCCCCCCACCCCGGCCGACTGGGCCAGGGGAGCTGAGCAGGCTCTCCCTGACCCTTGGGCTCTCCTCCCTGGCAACGGGCGCGGGCTTCCTGCCTCTCGCTGTGCTGCCTGCTTGCATTACCTCCTTGCCCCTGTAGAAACCCTGAGAAACCCACCGCAGTGCCCTGTGGGGAAATGCCACCAGGGCCCTCCGCGCGCCTTGACGTCCGGGAGCTGAAGGCTGCTTCGTGTCACAGCGCTGAGGCTTCCTTCACTCTAGGTTCTGCGTGTAATCACCCCCACGCGGAGCACGGCACACGCCCAGGCCCGCCCCGTCCGCACTTCATCACTCAGTCCTTGTTTCAGGCCTCGTAAAACGCTTATTGCCTTTCACTGTAACTTCCTGGCTTCCATTCTGGAAGGAAATGAGGAATATACAGTGATTTTGGGGGGGACAAAGTATTACTCAAGTTACTCAACAACCTATTAGAATTAGGACTCCAGTTTACAGCAACACAGAAACCAAAGAAAGGCAAGGGTTCCCTGGGCCCCCGGACCCTGCGTGCTGTGTCCTTTCAGGTTCTTCTCCTATCTAACTCCACAGAACCCTGCAAGATAAGCATTTGTTATTATTCCTGATAGCAGATAAGGAAACTGAGGCTCCAAGGGAAGAATGGTGTGAACAGCCCAGAGCAGAGTCCCCTCCAATTAGCTCTGGCTGGGCCTGGTGTTTATTTCCAGATAGTTTTGCACTCATGCACGCCCTGGCTTTGGCGCCTTCCCTTGCGAAACCAAGCCTTTTCCTGCGTCCCTGGGAAAAAGGCTGTCTTTGCATGTGGGAACGGGATCTGGCAGAGACACCTTCCTGCTGCTCCCCCAGCCCTGCACACCCCTGTGCAGGCCTGCCTGGAGGATGGGGGGGGGGACCTCTGTGGCTCCAGACGGAGCCTTTGCTCAGCAAATGCCTCCACAGCCCTACAGTGTTTGTGTGTCTCGTTCACAATGAAATGAACGTCTTACCTCCCCACAGGCCCCTTTTGCAGCTGGGGAAGGCTGGCTCTTGGACTTCCAGGGTCCTCCTTCTAGGGACCTTGAGCAAGATTCTTTCTCCTTCTAGAACGCTCCTTTTCCCCAAGGACATCCATGGCTCTCCCTCGGCTCCCCGCTGGCTCCCCCAACCCCAGATGCCTCCCCCTGTCCCAGCAGTTCCCATGCCAGGCCGTGGTGGTCTTCTCTGCAAATGTGTCTTTCTCCCCGACCAAAGCACAAGGTCTCGGGCAGGAGCTGGGTCCAGATCCACAGGCTCTCAAGAGATGGTCAACAAATGCTTGTCGACAGGAAGGAGGGGACAGGGGAGAGGAGGGAGAGAGAAGGAAGGCCTGGTGGGCAAATGAAGGATAAAGGCTGAGAATGCAGAAGAAATCCAATGAAGCCAACAAAGGCTGCTTAGCAGATGCCTGCGCTGGATGTGCAGAGACACACGGAGGCACCAGTGGATCTCGCAGCCCCCACATCCCAGGTTGGGGTTCGCTTGCTTGTTCGTCCATCTGCTCTGACCCCAGGAAACCCTCCCTGAACTTCAGTGGGAGAAGCACTTCTGGAACAGTGGGTTACGGACCCTGACGATCCGCTCCCTCAGAAAAGCAGCAAGGACGCTGGGGAACACGGGCCTTGTCAGAACTGTGGGAAGTAATGAAGAACTTGCCGCAACCCCTTAATTCAAGAAAGAAATGATAAGTCTTGCTAAGAACTTCAGTGTTCACGACATTCTACCTCGCCTGTCTCCTCAGTCCCCTGGAACCCTTAGAAGCTGCCAGCCTTGCAACCGCAGTACCTGTGAGAAGAAGCAGCCACCGGGGGAGGCGAACGGCAGGCCGAGGCTCCCCCGGTGCTTATTTGCAGAGAGCTGTCGCTGTTTGACCTGCCTGCAGGCTCCATGGGAGAGCTTGTAGGCAGGACACGTCCTTATCTGGCCCGACCTAGAGCTTGCTCACCGGACAGCACTGTCTCCCGAGCGCTTGCCAAAAACACTCAGCAGCAACTGTCTAAAATCACAGCTGCCTGAAGTGGTAGCAGCAGTGGGAGCAGACAGGAAGCTGACACAAAACCTGAACTAAATACCTAGGTGGTGAGGTGTCTAGAGGGGCCTTGCAAAGCCCCTTTCCAGCATATTCCTGGGGGTCTAGAAGGCACCTGCGGGGGAAGGGCTGTGTACATGTTCAGGGAAGGCCTGAGAGAGCCCGTCTGTCACCTCAGGCTAACCTTGAGGCTCTGCCCAAGCAGGCAGTGAAGGCAAAGCAGAGCTGGGAAGATGGCACTGAGTTGCGCTCCAGCACAGAGAGCCCTTGGCACAGAGTGGGGGACTTACTGGACCAAGGCATTAAAAGAAACCACTGTCTCTGCTGATCATTAAGCAAACCAAATGGACAAGTCAGTAGCTACATGTAACATACTATGCACACTTCGGAAACTTAGTCCAGGAAAACCCCTTACCGTGAGCAACAGTGATGACAAACAGCAGCAACAAAAAGTCCTGAGAAGTAGGAGCAGGACCTAATTTCCACAGTAGACACCTTAAATTACTATCAATGCCCAGTTTTTAACAACAACAAAGATTTGAGACACAGGAAGATATGAGAAAGCATGGCAATAAAAAAGGGGGAAAGCAATGAATAGAAACTGTCCCTGAGGAAGCCCAGCTGGAAAAATTAGACAAAGATTTTATATTTGCTATTTTAAACATTTCTTAAAACTAAAGGAAATGATATCTAAAGAATTCAAGGAAAGGCCAAGAGAATATCAAAGAGAATACAACATAGAGAATATCCATAGAGAAAATATAAAACCAGAAACAAATAGCAACTCCAAAGTACAATAACCAAATGAAGAGTTCACGAGAGGGGCTCAACAACATTCAGCAGAAGAAAGAGTCAGCAAACTGGAAGCTAGGTCAATCAAGACCCTTCGGTCTGGGGAAGAAAGACAAGAGAATGAGGAAAGCAAACAGAGACCTGCAGGACTCTGGGAAATGCACCACCATACACATACTGGGGGGAGAAGAGAGAGAAAGAAGCAGAAGAAATAGATGAAAGAATAATGGCCAAAACCTTCCCAAATTTATTTTCTATCTTGTGGTTATGATTTACTGCAGCAAAAAGCTACAGATTAAAGTCAGCGAAGGTAAGAGGATCGTGGGACCCAAGCTTCCAGCTTGCCTCTCCCAGTGGGGCTGCATGGACAGCCCGATTTTCCCAGCAGTGATGTGTGGCAGTGTGTGCGTGACGTTTCGCCAACCAGGGAAGCTCAGTTGAGCCTTAATGTCCCGGGTTTTTATTGGGTTTCTATTGAGTGACTGATTTTATCTATTCAGTGTCCAGCCCCTCCAAAGCTCAAACTGATACAACATGACCCCAAACCCCCACAATGACTCACATTGTTGGCATAAACTATCCGGTATGCTGGATGGCGTGCAGGTGTTCAAAGATGTTCCTATTAGGCAGCATATTTCAAGGACTTAAAGGTTATCTCCCTCCCAGTTCTTTCTTCGGAATGTGCAGGGCTTGGACAATCCATGCCTGTTGAGTTCACCCTTTACTGCACAGCCTCACAGCTCTCTGTTGTCATCGAAGCATCAGCACAAATGTGACCTCCTCCAAGAGGCTTTTGCCAACCAACCATACCCTCCCTCATTTCCTATCATTTTTTCCTTAAACACATCCCCAAATTTAAAGAAAAACATTTAATCTACACATAAGAGAAGCTTAACAAATCCCAAATAGGATAAACTCCAAGAGTTCCACACCTACCATATTTTGCTGTATATAAGGCACACTTTTTTGTCCAAATTTTTTAGGGAAAAATAAGGATGCACATCATACATGAGTAGTACTAATTCTGTATCTATATAAATGTTTTCAAATCTTTTACTTATGCTTATGCATTTAAAGTGTAACTCTAGAGCCCTGACTGGTGTGGCTCAGTGGGCTGAGTGTCAGCCTGAGAATCAAAGGGTCACCAGTTCAATTCCCACATGCCTGGGCACATGCCCAGGGTTCTGGGCCAGGTCCCCAGAAAGGGGCACATGAGAG